TACTATTATTTACTTGTATCTAAGAAATATTTTCCAATGAAATAAGCTTTTAGAAAATATTTACTCCTTGACTGGTTTCTACTATGTGAAATAATTGAAGAGAGGTTAGCTAACCTGCTCAAATTAACCAGTCTAATTTGATGGCAACAGAGTGGGTGAACAACAATAGATTCAATCAATTACTGATAACTTGGTCTCTTGGTTTGTCTTTATTTAAAAAGTTTTTATCAGAGAAATGGAATCATATGATTTTCTCTAGTGTTTGTTGGTTATCTTCACTGAGATTATCAAATCTATTAGATTGTAAATACTCTTCTTTGTCTGAAATCTCATCATTAAAATACCCTGGTCCTCAAACCCCCAATTTGGAAAAAATTAATTTCTTTATTCAAAATATAGAGAGGAGAACATTATATAATTTGATAGAACAAAAAAATGTGTCAGGGTAAAAATATATAGTATAGTTATAATATATTGATCTGTTTTGCCAACAAACCATAGTTGTTAATATTGAAAAATAATATAGTTATAAAATGCTGTCACTTTCCTATTGGAAAAATGTTTCATCTCTGTAGCCTTTATAGCATCTATTTACTATTACATTGAAAGCTTTATCTGGGTCTTGGAAAACACAGAGAAAGACTGCTGATGGACTCTTATGGTGGAAAAATCTAGGCGGCATTTTTAATAGGCTTATTACATTTCTTACACGTGTAATTAACAAGTATATAAAATATATTACTGTCTACAAATTTTATAACTGGATAATGTTTCTTAAAGCTGCAGCTTTATTACAGCCACATGCTTGTAAATAACTGTATGAAATCTCAGCATTTTCTCCATCCATTGATGGCTTAGCAAATACTGTGGTCCTTGGATGTTAATTATTGTCTATGAAATAGGTGAGCTGAGCTAGATCTATGTTAACTCATCACAAGAGGCTAAGTTTGTTCTTTTTTTCTTGAGTCTCTACTCAACACATTGAAAGCTATATAAGAAATTTAGCCGGGCGCGGTGGCTCACGCCTGTAATCCTAGCTCTCTGGGAGGCCGAGGCGGGCGGATTGCTCAAGGTCAGGAGTTCGAAACCAGCCTGAGCAAGAGCGAGACCCTGTCTCTACTATAAATAGAAAGAAATTAATTGGCCAACTAATATATACAAAAAATTAGCCGGGCATGGTGGCGAATGCCTGTAGTCCCAGCTACTTGGGAGGCTGAGGCAGGAGGATTGCTTGAGCCAGGAGTTTGAGGTTGCTGTGAGCTAGGCTGACGCCACGGCACTCACTCTAGCCTGGGCAACAAAGCGAGACTCTGTCTCAAAAAAAAAAAAAAAGAAATTTAATATTCTCACAGAGAGATTTAAATTGTTAAAATATTCTTTTTCTTTATTCTTGAAAGTACAATTTGTCACCTTCCCTTTGAGCAGATATTCCTGTGCATTTGCACAGAGGTAGGATTAGTGACCAATACTTTTGAGTTGTGCTCACAACAGCTGAAATGATCAGATTCTTCCAGTCAATATGTAGCCAATTCTTGGCTCACTACATGATATCAAAATCAGATTTTTTTTTTTTTTTTGAGACAGGATCTCTCCCTGTTGCCTGGGCTAGAGTGCAGTAGCATCAACATAGCTCATTGCAACCTCCAACTCCTGGGTTCAAGTGATTCTCCTGCCTCAGCCCCCCCAAGTAGCTGAGACTATAGATGCACACCACCACCAAAAAGAAAATTTTAATCAGACTTTGAATTAAGTGAATTTTTGCTTCTCCAGTTTTTCATGCAGAATATTTGAAAATCATTTGGACGTTTTATTTGTACTGCAAGTAGAAATGCAAATAAAACATGAACTTTTAAAGCAATTAAAATCAGAAAGCAATATAGACACATCACTATTTATTTATAATGCATTATTTGGTATAATGTCATTTATGTCATTAATCATTTGGTTAGTCCCATGGGACGTGTGTGTGGTGACACAGATGGAGGGTGTCATATCATGAAATATGTGAATAAGAAGTTTCAACCCTTATGGGTTGAAATTTCAAGAACAAAGTAGAATTTGAAAGTGGAAAAAATGAAGAGACAGAAGGGGAAATGCAAGGAGATGGAAAAAGGCATTTATCTAAATAGGTGGGAGCAAAAGCAACATAAGAATTAGAATAGTATTTTGGGGACACTGAGGAGCAAACTAAAAAAGATCAGTATAGCATAAGCGTAAGTTATTAGATATCTCAATAATTTTCTTGTAGATTTTAGACACAGGTAGTCAAAGCCTATAACCACTTTCAAAGCATTGGAAGGTCCCACCGCTCAACCTACAGGGACGTTCTCTGAACTCCGACAGCTACAGTAGTGTTGCATATTTAATTAATTTGTCAATTGTACATGACCTTCTGTCACATGTTTTAAATTCCTTTGATTGTCTTATACTGCAAATTTGGTCTTAACTAGTTTAGTCTTCATAAACAAACTTTTTGAGGAATGGTTTTAAATATAATAATATCATGTGTGCCCTGCATTGCTAACATGTCTCACATATAGTCACTATTTTGTTTTTTTGAGACAAAGTCTCACTTTGTTGCCCAGGCTAGAGTGACTGCCGTGGCGTCAGCCTAGCTCACAGCAACCTCAAACTCCTGGGCTCAAGCAATCCTCCTGCCTCAGCATCCAGAGTAGCTGGGACTACAGGCATGCGCCACCACACCCGGCTGATTTTTTTCTATTTATAGTAGAGATGGGGTCTCGCTCTTGCTCAGGCTGGTTTCAAACTCCCGACCTTGAGCAATCCGCCCGCCTCAGCCTCCCAGAGAGCTAGGATTACAGGCGTGAATCACCGCGCCCGGCCTACAGTCACTATTTAACAGTATTTTTTCATTAGATTGTATACTTTGTGTGGCTAGTTGTTTTGATTTATTATTCCCAAGTAATCACCTCTGTTATAGATTGAATGGTGTCCCACCAAGAGAGATACATTGGAGTCTTAATGCTCAGAATGTGATCTTATTTACTATGAAGTCACTAGCATGGGCCCTAATCCAATATGACCATTCTCCTTATGAAAAGAGGAAATTTGGACACACAGATAAACCTACCCAGGAAAGGTGATGTGAAGAGACAGAGGAAGAAAGAACCCAGCCATCGACAAGTCAATGTCTCATAAAACATATTCTTTCTCACACCCCTCCAGAAGGAATCAACCATGCCAACACCTCAATTTTGGATGTTGGCCTCCAGATCTAAGACAAGAAAAAAAATTTTTGATCAACATTAAACATTTATGCTTCAATGAACACTATCAAGAAAATGAAAAGACAACTCACAGAATGGGAGAAAGTATTTGCAAATCATATATCTGATAAGGGACTTACATCCAGAATATATAAAGAGCTTTTAAAACTCAACAACTCAATTAAAAAATGTATTTGAACAGACATTTCTCCAAGAAGACATGCAATGGCTAATAAGCACATGAAAAGATGTTCAACATTAGTCAGTAGGGAAATGCAAAGCAAACCCACAATGAGGTAACATTTCACATGCACGAGGATGACTATAGTAAAAAAGACAGATAATAACAAGTGTGAGTGAGGATGTGGAGACAATGGAAGCCTTATACATTGCTAACAGAAATGTAAAATGATGCAGCTGCTTTGGAAAAGTTTGGCAGTTCCACAGAATATTAAATATGGAGTTATTAATACCATACAACTTAGCAATTGTGCTCCTAGGTATATGCCCTCATGAAAACATATGTCCACACAAAAACTTGTACAGTACATGAATGCTCATATCAGCATTATTCATACTAGCAAAAGGGTGGGAAAAAACTCAAATATCCATCAACTGGTGAACAGATAAATAAAATGTGGCATAGTCACACAATGGAATATGTACTGATACATACTATAGCATTGATGAAGCTTGAAAACATGCTAAGTGAAAGAAGAGTCATGAAAGACCACATATTACATAATTCTATTTATATGAAACTTCCAGAATAGGCAAATCTATAGAGACAGAAAGCAGATGAGCATTTACCTAGGGCTGGGGATGTTGGGAAGAAATGGAGAGTGATCATTAATGGGTATACAGTTTCTTCTGGGGATGATGAAACTGGCCTAAAATTGATTATGGTGATGGTTGTACAATTCTGCGACTTGAAGCCACTCAGTTCTGGAACTTTATTATGGCAGCACTAGCAAACTAAATGCAACCTCTAAAATGACTTAACTATCCTATTGAAATCTTTCAACCATACAAGACAAAAAAAACTAAGTCATGTAGGACTTACAGTCTGTAAAGACTCGCGATTCCTGATCTCATCAGAGCATTGCTAAAAGCTCTGCCTCTACTGGCCTTGGAAGACCTGACCTTGACCGATAGGTAGGAAAGTGTCACTGTACTCTCCACCATTCCAAATACAGCTCCTGCTCATAAAAGAAGTTTTATAAATACCTGCAAAGATTATTTGTCAGTCAATTGCCAGTTGTCAATCACCTTTCAATTACCCGTGTATGAATTATTCAGAGCTGGTTTAATCTCAGGCTGACTTCTTTTTGCCTCCAAGCACACATCTGATCTCACTCTCTGTTCCAGCAATTGATATGTGCTTAGGGAATGCAGACCACTTTTAATATTAGCCTGAACAAACACTTAAAAGGATAAATCTGTTTCCAAAAACAAATTAATGCATTCCCAAAGACAAATGTGTATCATCTCTGCATTATCAGATGTGTTGGATTATTTAATACCAGGGCTCATTTCCTTGATAATCAAGAGTATAATAATCCCTATGCTTATGCTGTTTATAACTTTAGGTTATAAATTCTTAATCATCACTCAGGTGATTTTCATTTCGGTTTTCTCTCATGTTCAGGATAGTATTACAGTGCTGGCTGTTGTAGCTTGATATACCAGACAGAAATCTATCCTGCAATCCCAACTGCTTAGATTAGAAGACTTTATTATGTTTTACCCTCAGCAATGAACAACTCCTGGCTCTGGTGACACCTACCCTCCCCTGAGGAACAAGTGGAGTCCAAGGTGCCATTTCATGCTATATATCTACCACCTTCCCAGGGCCCATTTTTCGTTCATGGATGGATAACAGCTTCACAATAGGTAACTGCAATCTCTTTACTAAGAATTTAGAATTGAGACTATCTTTTTTGGATCTTCTGTGAATTCAGAAACTGTGGATGGCAAGATTGTCTGGCTTATGGACATGGAAGCAGACAGAGCAGGTCAATAAATAGAAAAAGGAAAGGAAACAGAATGTTGAAAAAAAAAAACAGTGACTGCTTGCTGAATTTCCCCAGCTCTGGTTTGGTTTCTTTCAGATGTTCTATTGCAATTCCGCCCTTGGGTGTTATGAAACTTCTCTATATGTTTATGGATTTTAACTGTTGATAAAAATGAAGAATTTGGTCATGTCTTCTGCAACGAACAGAAATCATCTGGTCAAATTCCCCCCTTTTTACAAATGAGGATATTGAGATCTAGGGATGTTAAGTTGTGGGTCCAAGTTCACAAACAATTTGTATTCGAAGTAGGAAAAGGACACATACCTCCAAATTCTCAGGTTGTTTTGACATAATTGTTCAATGCAGTTCTTTATCCTAGAAAATATCAGAGTTAAAACCTAATGACTAGTAAATTGATCTCTTGCTAAAATAATTATTGAGTGGATGATTGTTTACCATGTACTATTTGCATTCTAGGCCCTAGTGATATAGCAGTAGACGAAACAAATGAGTTCCCTGATCTCATGAAGCTTATAATGTGAAACATTTTGTCTATTGGCCATATAGCCGTTGAGATCCCTTGAATCTTTCTAGCAGTATGAGTAGATGTGCACAAATGTATCTCTTCTTCTGGATCTTCCCTAAGACAAATTTCATGAATATGCAAAATGGCTGGCTGCAGCCACAGGTACATTTTGGTCTCCATGGAATGCTGAGAGGCCAGCTGGTCCCCAGGAAAGGACAAGAAAGGGAAATACAACATAAGGCATTGTAAAGCATATTTGCACAGTTTCTGCCCAGTGGCTCAGTCCTGTCCAATATGTCAGCGAACTGAGAAAGCTTAAGGAATTTTAGCTCCTCAGAGGAAATAGCGGTTGTAAATATGTACTAGGCTTCTTGCTCTTTTATTTATTTTTTACTGTTGTCATGAATCTGTCACTAATTGCTGTAGACCTTTTGGCATCAATCAACTGACATTTATGCCCTAGAATTTATGATGCTCAGTACTTTAAAGCTTTCATATAGCCCCTCTTGTATATTCCTGGATAGAGCTGGAACCCATTCTACTAAGTGAAGTATCTCAAGAATGGGAAAACCAGCACCACATGTACTCACCAGCAAATTGGTATTAACGGATCAACACCTAAGTGGACATATAGGAGTAACATTTATTGAGTGTGGGGAGGGTGGGAGGAGGAGATGGGTATATACAACCACAACGAGTAAGATGTGCAAGGTTTGGGGGATGGACATGCTCGAAGCTCTTACTCGAGGGGGGGGGATGGGGGTACAAGTGTTAAGGTTACATATATTGCCCATAATACGCTAAAAAAAAAAAAAGCTACATTTGCAAGCACAGTCATTTCAACTCCTTAACTTCACATTTAAAGTCTTCCATGATCTGGCTACAGGTTACCTCCTATGTATAAAACGATTTCAGTAACTGGTAAATGAAAAAAAAAAAAAAAATCTCATTCCACTGTTTTTCTCAAACTGCACACACAGCAGATCAAACCAAGATATTTAGTCTTCTTTTACACTGCACCACCCCCACCCACTACCGCAGTTCCTTTCCATCCAGGTCTTTGCCTCTGCAGGTCAATGACCCAAGAGTACCTACACCTCCTTCCTGTCCCTGAGCTGTGATGGCCTCTCCCACAACCATCATTCTGTCTTTCTTCATTGATAGTAGGCCCTGTTGAAAGACGCTGAACATTCCAGATTTGTACTTGTCATACATTCTTTATCGCTAGAGGATATATCTTTGTGACCCAATGGGTTATAAGGAGAAATTTGCTCAGAAAGGATTTTCCTCCATGAGAAAATTGAAACGTTCAAAGAAAGCTCCTTCCCCTTCCTTCCTGCCTTAGCTGTAGAACTACTATGGGATGAGCATTTGCTTTAGCCAACTTGCCACCCGGACTGGAAATTTGAGATAATCTCAGGGAAGCCCATTCAGAGTCCCACCATTATTGAGCTATTTGACCAATCCAGGTGCAACCTGCCTCCAGGCTTCTTGTTACATGGGGGAAATGGATCTCTATTTAAAGCCACTTTCAGCTGGGTATTTTGGCACTTGTTCTAAACCCAGCTAACAGATATCAAGCTTCTGTAGCACATTATTTGCATCTTTATGTTTAGCCCTTTATAGCTTGTATTAAAGTTATTCATTTGTAAACATAAAACACACTGAAGCTAGCAGCAGTGTCCTGTTTGAAGGCACACAGCTGGCAAAGGGCAATGCTGACTTGAAGCTCATAGAATCTTTGAGGTATGGCTTCTCTTGGATAATTAGCTAGATGCTGGTGATTTCTGTGGGTTCCTCTTTCACAATTACCCTTCCTGCCAGAAAGCTACATTTATGTGAATGTTTGCTAACCGATGACTTCGTAAATGATGTTATAATCTTGCCTGGCCATGGCTTCTCTGTCGAGATGATCCTATGCATTTAGGCAATCCATAGTATTCCTCAGAGTATGTGAGCAGCAGTATGGCTTAGTAGTAATACAGAGTATGTGGTAATAACTTAAAATGTTGGGTTAATACCCTGGCTTCACATGAATTAGCTATGGGCCCAAGACAAGGTAACAGTAGAAGCTGTGTTTGAATCAGCTCTTTCTCTCTCTAAATCCCATTATTATAACACCTTATCTTAGCTATTGTCATAGAAAAACCATTTAAGAATTGGTATCTTTATATCCCCCAAATCTAGCATACATGGCACAGTATCTTAGATATAGTAGATACTCAGAATGTGTTTAAGTGAATGAAATATGATAAGAAAGTCACCCATCCTTTCTTTCATTGAGATTAGTGTTTAGTAATACAAGTTTCCCTAAGAGAATATAGGAAGGCAAATGATAGATATTGAGTTCTCATGGTTACTAATCCAGTCTTGTTATCAGTTCTCACCTCTGTCTCCCATAATCATAGGAGTCATGGTTAAGGTAGAATATCTTTTGCAGCTCCCAAAGTGTTACAGCAGAAGCTCTTTGGCTGGGTTTCCAAAAATATAAAAATGCTTAATTGCTCATAGCGTGATTTCTTTGAGACCCTGGGATTAATGCCTAAAACTAAGGTTTTCTTTGCCATGTTAACCTCTTATAGCCCATCCTAGCAGATTTCTTCTTGTGCTCTCTCTCTCAATAAGTTTTTTTTTTTTTTTTATGTGTGGCTGCAGTTACTTCCAGAGTCTTATTTGCTCGATGAGACACAAGAATCCAGTTCTTGCAAGGAAAAAGCAAATTAAAAAGTTATTAAAGCATGTATCGCCACTTGACAAGCCCCTCTGGATCCATTTGAGCTTATGACCATGGTGAGTCTTCAGGAAGGTTTTTATTTCACAAACCACTGAGCCCATCCAAGCCACATGCTGTTTGATAATTAGGGGCTATATTATCTGTGATAGAAACCCAGTACTGAAGAAAACAGTGAAAGGGACTAATATAGACAACCAGCTGTTGTTTTTCTGCCACTGTACCGGTTGACTTAAACTATGTCGCCATCCAAATTTGTTTTGAGCCAAAACCTTTCTCTTGCAGGAATGCGATGGCAAACAGAATACCGTGCCATCTTGGCTAGATTATCATATCAATAGCTAACATCTGTGTGGGCTCCGCAATTTACAATGTGCTTTTGTACCATTTATCTTGTTTAATCCTCACAGTATACTTGTTAACGAGGAAAATGTGACCCAATTTTAGAGGTGAAACAGATGTAAGTGACTTTGTGTGACTTATCCCAAAGTCCAGTGGTGGAGCCAGGGCTATCTGACTTCTACTTGGTTCTTCATTGCTGTCATCATCATCTGTGCATCATCATTTTAGTACCTGTGGAGACCCCAGCTAGGTTCTCCTTATTTTCTTAAATAAGCTGTGCTGGGATTTCTACTTTTGCCTGTAGCAGAAGTCATTTGAATAACGCCATCTTGCACTCCTCTTCTGACCACCTTTGACTGAGGACCATTGGTCATGGGTCAGCCCAAGTTCATTGGTAATTCCAAACCACTGTTCCCTGCCAAGCTAATGGGAACAGAAGTATCCTATGACACTAATCCCTAAGAGATACTTCAAAACAAGGCACCATGGCTATTTAAGAGATTTCTCCTTTGGTAACTAACTGTCTTCTCACTACAGTTCAGTAGCTTTAAATTTATAGATACTTCAAGACCAAGGTTTACCAACTGAAAACACATCCAGAGAATTTTTAGAAATTACCCATCTTGCAGTTTAATTTGTCCAGAAGAAAGATCCTTAATTTTATTAATCTTTGTGTTGCCTTTGAAGCCAAACCTATTTGGTATTGCAGATCCTGCTTCTTGGCAGCTGGGGCACAAATTTATAATCATTACTTCTGTTCCTTCAAGGCAACCTTTGGACTGTATTGATTGCTTTACCTTAGTTAATACTCACCTGGCATCCTGGAGTTGTCCCTTATGACATTGGCAACAGTTTTAGCATCCGCGCCTTTCATATAACACATTCAAAAGTGAAATATACATGATTATTTTAGTGGAAATATGAGTACTTATATTTTTAATATTCCTGATGCTTCCTTTGGGTTTATGGGGACTTCAAGAGACTGCTGTTTTTGCACTGTTACCTTCTAGCACTTCTTGAAAAGGCAAAGGTAAGGTAAGTATTGAAAAATATATTTTAAAGTAAATGTTTTCCTTTAATCCTATCCCTGATGCTACCTCTCCTTGTTCCCTTATTTCTTTCCTTGCTTGCTTGCATTCTCCCTTTTATTCTTTCTGGTATTGCACTGGTGTGCTACAGAAATCTAAGAAGTGTGAAAAAGTGTGGCATTAATTCCAGAGGAAACTTGGTTCAGTTAAAAATCTTTGCTCCCAGTTTAAGATTATAAACCAAAGACTGGCAAAAAATTACCAAAATCCAAGAATATTTCTTTTACAATAAATGTGGCCTCATTAACACTTCACAGATATGGGAGCTTTTTTACCCCATTATTCACAGTGATTTCTTAGGCTTGGAATGTATCCTTTGGAGGAAATTATAAAAGGTTGCTAAAGATACTTTGGAGGGTCTCAGTCTACAAAATTAAAGTCAAGTAATGAGTGTGGAATCAGTCTCATGTGTATTACAACTTGAGATGTAGTCACAATGACCTCCCAATTTCTGGAATATGCTTGCCTGGCTTATTCTACTTTATCAAGCCTTAGTATTTTCATATCCTTATACCTACTGTTTTCTTTTCCTCTATCTTGTTTAAATAATTCTTTCTCAAACAGCGAGGCTCAACTTGAGCATCATGTCCTCAAAGAAGTCTTCCTTTGGTCACTGTAATATAGGTAGAGTCTTTTATTCTCTTTCACTCTTGTTTCCTTTTTCCTGCCTATGTTAGTTATAACTTGTTCTTCCATTTTTACTTTCTTAAGTTGGAAATTTGGGTCATTTATTTGAAACGTTTTCCTTTATAACATATGTGTTTAGAGCTATAACATTTCTATTAAACATTGCTTTTTCATTTTCATTTAAATCACAATATATTCTAATTTTTATTTTGGTTTCTTTAACCTGTGAGATATTAGAAATGAGACTTTGATTTTCTTTTTATACCATTAACCACTCTGTGATGTCCAAATATTTGGGTTGGATGAAAACAGGGTACTACTCAACAATTAGAAATATGAAGAGATGCTCTAGATCTGACAAGCAGTTTATATCTAGGCATATTGTAGACCTTGAATTAAGAGTAAGAGTCTAATTTATTGTTAGTTTGATCTCTTTTTTTTTTTTTTTTTTTTCAGTTTTGCTGCTAACTGGGTTCAATGGAGCAAGAACTTCTGGTTGAAGTACCTACTAGTATGTATTGTTGAGAGAGGAAGCCAGCAAAAACTGGTCATTCTATTTAATTATTTTTAATTTATGGTTTAAAAAATGTAAGCTCTAGTCAAAATTTCTAATAACAGTCGCTATCTAGCTTTCATCTTTCAAACCAAGTGAAAGTAAAAAGGGGAAAGAAAAAATGTAAAAGTAAAGGAGATTTTTCATAAACTAGAAATAATGCTGAATCAGTCAAGAAAGGGATAAAAGTGCTTTGAAAATTAAAACTAACCAAAGGGAAAACACAACTATCTTTGCAAATATTTCAGAACAACTCTTTGGAGGTGTTCACATCCCGAGGAGGAAAATAAATTTCTTTCTTGGAACATTTGAGGTAGTGGTTGGCTGATCCACCTCATACTCCCTGACACTATTCTTCAAAAATTATCAAGTCCAGAGAAAATAAAAAAGGGAATCCCATTTTAAAATGCATAACCACCACAACAAATGGTTTGGAAGCTATGGAAGCTTCTACATAAGAATTAAGAGACATGAAAAAAAGTAGGGAGATACTTTTCAAAACAAGATAGACTAATGGCCAACAAACCTGAAAGTTGTTCAACATCTCTAATAATCACAGAAATGCACATAAAAACCACAGTGAGAGATCACCTAACTCCAGTGAGAATGGCTTTTATCAAAAAGTCCCAAAACAGCAAATGCTAGCATGGATGCGGAGAGATAGGAACACTTAGCTCTATGGAAAGTGGTATGAAGGTGGCTCAACGAGCTAAAAGTAGAATTACCATTTGATCCAGCAATCCCACTACTGGGTATTTACCCAAAGGAAAAAAGACATTCTATAAAAAAGACACCTGCATTCGAATGTTTATAACAATGCAATTCACAATTGTGGAAACAACCCAAGTGCCCATCAATCCATGAGTGGATTAACAAAATGTGGTATATGTAGACCATGGAGTTCTACCCGGCTATAGAAAAAAAAATGGTGAACTAATACCTCTTGTATTAACCTGGATGGAACTGGAGACCATTCTTCTAAGTGTCACAGGAATAGAAAAACAAACACCACATATACTTGTCATTAAATTGGAACTAATCGATCAACACTTATGTGCACATATGGAATTTACATTCATTGGAAATCAAGCAGGTAGGAAGGGTGAGGGGAGGGTGGGTAAATTCACACCTAAAGGGGACATTGCACACTATCTGGGTGATGGGCACACTTATAACTTTAACTCAAACAGTATAAAAGCAATTTATGTAAGCAAAATATTTGTACCCCCCTAATATTCTGAAATTAAAAAATTAAAAAGTAGGGAGGAAAATAATTCAAACCATAAAGGCGATACAGCAAAGCAGAATTACATTTTGTGTTATAAATAAATGCTACTTAAAATATCCAAAAAATAATGTAAATCAGATTTGTGACATTTCACAGAGTTCAAAGATGATAAAAAAAAAAAGCAACATAAATAGAAACTATAAAGTACACGGAGAGGGCTTAGTAAAAGAAATGGAAGAGATCAACACTACCATTGTGAAAGCAAAAGTCACATTAAAAGGAACTAAATGAAAAGCATTCACTCTCCAAAACATAGCAAGGATCAACAAGGTCAGCTTCAGGTGACTGAGTGAAATAAAATTGAAAAGAAGATGTGCTTAAAATGTTAGAGAAAAATCATGGAACTGGCAGATGAAAAACAAAGTCACATATAAATAATTTAGTTCACTAAGAGGGATAATTCAAGAGAAAATAATCAGTTGCATCAGTAGAAGAAACTAGAATAGGGATAAAATCAACAGAAAAGCATGTGGTGGAGGAAAGGATGGAAATAGGGAGCAATTAGAGAAGTGGGCTCACTAGAGGACAGTGCACACTCTCTGTGTGTGTCTGTCTGTCTGTCTCTCTCCCCCTATTCAACAGGAGATTTATTGTATGGACTTGACACTGTGCAACTGTGGGAGCTAAACAGTCTACGTAACAGTCTACATAAGACTGTTATCTCTGTGTTTTTTGTTAGAGCCTGAAATCCACAGGGGGGGGCTGTTGGGGAGGAGGGAAGTCGGAAAAGTGAGGAGAAAAGGGAATCTCTGACAATGGACTAAAGCCAGTGTTGGCTTCTCACTGCCTCAAAGCCTCCACCTTTTTTTCTTTTTAAGCATGCAAACTGCTTTTATTGCCAAGCAGTAACTAAAACAGACATCCTCACATTTTTGCTAAGTCCATTTTATCCTGCACTGTTAATAATATTACCAAATATATATATATATGTATGTATATATATATATATTTTAGAAAACATTACAGAATAACTTTATGACCTTGGTTACAAGAAATTTTAAACAAGTAAAAAAAAAACACTAAGCATAGATGCAAATATTGGCAATATGGTCTCATTAAAATTAAGACATCATTAAGAGAATTAGCAGATAAGCCACAATGTGAAACAAGATATTCGCAACATGTGTAACTGACACAGCGCACATATTCAAAGTATGTATAGACCTACAAATCAGTAAGAAAAGTTAGATATCTAAAGGAGCAAAGGGCAAAAGTACTTGAACAGGCATTACACAAAAGATGAAATCCAAATGGCCATTAAATGTATAAAACTGTTCTTGACATCATTAGTCATCAGAGAAATATTAGGCTGAGTCATGTGAAATTGACCCATGTTTTGACCATTTTGATACAAAATGCCAATTTCATAGGGTTTCACTTAGTAAAAATTAAAGTCATGATAGACACAGCTACATACCCATCATAAAAGCTAACATTTTAAAGCCTGACAGTAACAAGTGTTGGTGAGGATGTGGAACAATGGAAACTCTCATACAATGTTAATGGAGTACAGGTTGGCATTATGCTCACTGGCCCAGCCATTGTACTCTAGGTGTACACACTCAGTAATGCATTTGCATGTTTTGATGATGTGTGTAGCCTGTAGGTGCCCTTCATCTCACAGCTAAACTAATACCTGGCCCAGGATTCGGGGAAGCTGAAGGAGGTGACATGGCACCAGCTTAAGGAGCTGAGGTCCAGCATCTGTCTGACGCCAAAAAGATGACATAGAAGAGATGCAACAGCTGTTACAGCTGCAGGAAATCATGCTCTGCACCCTGCTTCTGCATGTAAAAGAATATTTGGTAAGGCCGGGCGTGGTGGTTCACACCTGTCATCCTAGCACTCTGGGAGGCTGAGGCGGGAGGATTGCTCAAGGTCAGGAGTTCAAAGCCAGCCTGAGCGGCGAGACTCCATGTCTACTAAAAAAAAAAGAAATTAATTGACCAACTAAAACTATATAATACAAAAAATTAGCTGGGCATCGTGGCGCACGCCTGTAGATCCAACTACCCGGGAGGCTGAGGCAAGAGGATAGCTTGAGCCCAGGAGTTTGAGGTTGCTGTGAGCGAGGCTGATGCCATGGCACTCACTCTAGCCTGGGCAACAAAGTGAGATTCTGTCCCAAAAAAAAAAGAATTTATGATAACTGATTCAAGCTTCTGCCTTTCAAATCTCATGTAAGATGCCTCTTGTGTCCCATGCTAACAGGGTACTATATAGGGGACAGGAACCTGGAAAACACTGCCCAGGCTAGCTAAGTTAGTACACTACAAATCCACCACAACACGTAGGAGTACTAATTGCCATACATAAATAGATATCTTTGAAAGCTGATGACTCAAAAATTCCAAGTACCACCACATTTTTTCAAAAGCTAAATCTCACAGAATATAAAGACATCCAGATGTAGTTGCAAAATGTGAAGAAAATCTTTCCCAAATACTAGGATAGGGGAAAAAAATCTCTCCCCTCACCCCAGCACGCACACGTTGACCTTCGATTATAGTAATAAGATATATTGGGAAGAGGGCAGGTGTAAAATTAAGATTGATCACGGTTCAATTACTTGTGCTCTCTCTTTATCATTTAAGTGATTTTAGGCAAGTAATTTAATCTCCCCAAACTCAGTTCATATACACATAAAATGGTCATAGTTAGTACCTTCCCTCAGAATGAGAGAGTGAGTAAATGAATATGTGATGGATCATTTTTTTTTTACCAAAATTTCTGATTTGTGCCCCATGGGGAGTGGCACAGACATAGACCTAAAACTGGCTGCCAGAGCTGTCGCTGAGCCTCTGTCTCAGAGATCATTCTAGCAACAAGCCTTTGCATTGGGCTCTGAGTGGCAGCTGAGCTCCCAACACCTGTTTCAGACCACTAGGAAGAGTTTAGTGGGGAAAAAAGAGATGTGCCAAGACAGCTCACAGTTAGGAATCTGAGAATTGTGCTCAAGCCAGTATCATGAGTATTCCTTAGAAGCAGAAAAGCAGAGAGAAAAAGCCCTTCCCTCCAGGATCTCGGGACACTCTCCACTTCCTCCCTGAAAAATTGTCCTCTTCAACCTGTATTTTAGTGCTGAGTTTTTGTTCCGATTTTGAAACCACAGATTAATCCTCCAGTTTTGGCAGCCAATAAACCACTCGTATGCTCACTGCCGCAACAGGACTCGAATGTACTAGGTCCCAGGAGCTTGGTTGCACCTTAAGTTTTAGGCCCTAGAAAGAGCATTTGAAAATCTGGGGAGAAAAAAAAAATAATAAGTATGCATGTGGCTTTAAATTCAGCCATTCCCTGGAAGACATTCTCTACTGTTGGCAGCATTTTCAAGACAGTTTTATTTATTTATTTTTAGAATACGTTTTTTCCTCTCCTAGAAACAACTGTATATAATGTAAGGGCAATCATAATTTGCCATGGAAAGCCACATGATGCAGTAAATCATCTAAGCACCCTCTTGGCCTCGGTTATAATTTACTTTATTCAAAGCTCTTGGTGAATTGCGTGGGTGGTGGCATTATGAGTTATTCAATATCTCCCTAAATATATTTAGAATGCTTAATTAAAGCTTAACCTTTATTTTGTTCAATACATGTTGTTTGCAGCTAATAGTTTTTGGGGGAAAAATCCCCTAGGTCAAGGTCTTATATTTAGCTGTTTCTGTTTTCCTCTAAAGCTGGAAAAATGAAGGTTATGAATGAATTGACATTACAGGAAATCAACAGGGTAAAGAATAATTTTGATGATTTCTTCTTGGCATTGCAATTTTATCCAGTGCACTTGATGATG